TTTCAGACCACGCCTATATATCTTACAGCGCCTATACAGACGCCCGTGCCTCTGCCTCCGCCTCGTCAGTCGACCACACAGACGCCTCTACCTCTCGTCATTCCGTGGACTCGGCTTCACGTCGGAGTGACAGCAGATCTTATTATCAGGGTCATAGATCTAGGAGCCGCTCCCCGGTTCGCAGACGCTCCAGTGGCTATCGGTCTGACTCCTTGGAGGGCGCCTTCATCCCTTGTTATGACAACACCCACCTGGGTTTAGCCCAAGTTGCAAACTGGCTGGCAGACAGATTGGAGGCAATCGCTCCCTCGCCTGACGTAGGGGTCGATAGCAAGACAGTCATACATGCGGACCTCAATCCGTCCTGACCAACTGATCAGAGACATGATCTCAGCCTTGGACGAGGACTTCAGTAAACCGTCACTGACACCGTCCTTCAGGCCCCCACACTACAGACGAGATGACTTCCCAGTCCACTCTCTTCAAGTCGCAGACCGTGCTCCTACCCTAGATGAGGACATGCACCGCATGACAGGATCAAACCGCTCCACCTCAGTCCCAGTTTCCGACAGCAAACTCGCTTATGTGGAAACCGAGATTCGCCACACGCTCAAACCTCTCTCACTGATGGCGTCGTCATCCAGAGCCATATTGCAGGACTTATCAGGATAACCCCCATAGTATTGACCTAACAACAGTTGTATCCTACCTCCAACAACAAGTGGAACAGATGCACTCTCTCTGATAGAGCTCACAACCACTAGACGCCTTGGGTACCTTGCCTTGTCGAATTGGGACCCAGAGTTTTAAAAGAGACCTTTTGCGTCAACCTTGGTCCGGCTCTGACCTCTTTAAGGGACAGATATCCAAGACACACTCCCTGGTCTCAGCCTTCGCCTGTGATGAGACAGCTCTCAAGGCCCTGGCCAGAGTGTCACAGCCAGCCTTGTCTGCCAGCCAGTCTGGCTCCTACGAGCCACGACGCAACACCCTCCAGATTCGGGGGCGGGGCTCCCCCTTAAAAGTGGGAAAGGAAAGTCCTCGGGTGCATGCCAGTCCTGCTGCGGCCACCCCAAGGGAGGTAACGCCGACCGCAGGGACCTCAAGTGAATTGCCAGACAGGCACAACTTGGACCTCCCACCCCCAGCCGTCAAAGTTGTTGAGACCCCAGTAGGTGGGAGACTGAGTCACTTCTGGCAGAATTGGGAGATCCTGGGGGACCCATATGTCACCAACATCATCCGACACGGGTACCACCTGACGCTTATAGACGAACCGCCACTCATGTTGTCCCCCATAGTGGACACATACCCCCCTACTCAACAGCAGCTACTGAGCCGGAACATCACGATGCTGCTAGACAAGAAAGCCATAGAGGTTGTACAGGCCCCAGCCATAACACCAGGCTTGTATTCACCTGTCTTCCTGGTCCCCAAGAAGGACTCCTACAAACATAGGATGATCCACAACCTTGCCGCTTTCAACAAACGCTACCTGGCACTTCCACCTTATTTCAGGATGACCACGCTCAGGCTACTGCGATCCTGCATCCAGGCGCAGGATGTGCTCATCAGCCTGGATATCGAGTCCCTACATGTCCCTATACATCCCGACTACCAGAAACTCTTCCGCTTCATCTTCATGGGAATCCATTATCAATGGGCGATCCTCACATTTGGAATTTCTTCGGCCCCGTGGCTATTCACTTGGCTTACCAAGCCGATAGCCGCATACCTTCACCACCGGGATATTCAGTTTGAGGCGTACATAGATGACTGCCTACTGAACCATTGGGACACGGTCACTCTACTCTGCCATAGGGACTTCACCCTCCGGCTCCTGTACCAGCTGGGGTGGAAGATCAATCTTAGGAAGTCAAGAGTTGACACCTTCAAATCGCCTTCAGTTCATCGGGGGCATCTTCCAGATGCATCTCGACCTCCTCTCTGTACCCAGAGACCGGTGGAAGCGCATGCAGGTGCACCTGACTCCAGCACTCCTCCTACCGAAAACTCTGCGCCAGTGGCAAGTTCTCCTGGGCCTTCTAACCTCAGCACAGTACTTGACCTACAAAGGGAGGCTCCAACTGCGCCCAGTTCAGATGTTCCTGGCTCCCTACATCAGGCGCCAGGACCCCTCAGTATCCATCCTCCTCCCGGATCATCTCAAGCAGCATCTCCGGTGGTGGATGATGTAATCGAATGGCTTAGGCAGTGTCTCCTTGACAGGGCTTACAACCTCTCTGCGCCTATACGTAGATGCTTCCCTGCAGGGATGGGGCGCACACTTAGAGGAACAGGTCTCCTCAGGCCTGTGGTCCACCGATCAGCGCCTATGGCACATCAACAACCTCGAACTGGAGGCGCTCATCTTGGCCATCGCTCATTGGAAACAGGCCCTCAGACACGCCCAGCTCTCCATCTCGACGGACATCATAACTGTCGTATGGTGTCTATGGAAGCAGGGAACGACTCATTCGACCTCGCTCCTGCAGCAGACGTTCCGATTATTTCACTTAGTGGATCATCTGGGGATTCAGTTCCAGGTCCAACACATTCCGGGCTGCCAAAACATCCTAGCAGATGCACTATCTTGACCAGGCAAAGTCGCTTGGAAGCTTCAACCAGACGCCTTTGCTCTTGTTTGTCGAGACCACGGTTTCCCCAACATAGACCTATTCGCCACCAGCCAGAAGGGAAGGACTAAAAGTGTCTGCTTTTCCGCCGCCTGTACTCCTCCCCAAAGTCGCGCCCTGGTGGCCAGCAAGGTTTGTCGACCTCAGAGAGCTGTCCGACGCCAACCCACTGCCACTCCCAGATTGGCCAAATCTGCTAATCCACCCTCACAGCAGACAGCCACATCCAGGTCCAGACAAGCTATGTCTTCAAGCTATGTCGCCCAACGACCAGGAGCCTCTATGATGACTAGTGGCAATTCTTCGAGAGCTTTTGCAGGGGCAAACAACAGGACCCCACTTCTGCATCGCCTCAATTCCTGGCCGAGTTCATGCTCCATCTGCGCTACAAGAGTAAGCTCAAGGGCAGTACCATCATGACCTATCATGTGGCGCTCAACTCCGTCCTGGCAGTTCCAAAGGATCGGCGCATGACGAAAATCCCGGAACTCCATACTTTGTTCCGCTCTTTCAGGCTGGAAGACCAAAATGCGAAATTTCGTCTACCAGCTTGGGACTTGAGCGTCATTTTCACATCGAGGAGAGACGGGCCTTTCGAGCCATTCGAAACAATCATTCTATAATCTGACGAAAAAGACGGTCTTCCTACTGGTGCTCGCCACAGCAGCCCGAGTCCGTGAGCTACACGCCTTGGACACGGGTCCGCTTTGAGCTTGGAGCACACAGAGCCGTGCAACTGGGCCTGTGCAGGGACAGGATTGCAAAGAATCAGCTCCCAGGACAGCCTGACAGATCGTTCCTCATCCCCCCTATCATCGATTGTGGGCGAGGAAGACGAACAAGAGCTCCTACTATGTCCAGTTACAGCACTCCATTGCTACATCAGACGATCCAAGGAACGCTGTAAACTACGCCTCTTTGTACCAGTATCTGCCGCAACACGATCGCCCTCTGGCTACGAGCCATCATTCTTCAGGCCTACGAGCCGCGGGATTGGACCCTCGGTGCTCCAACAACCCACACGAGATCCGGACGGTCGCCTCCACCATGGTGCTACACAGCAACTGCTCTCTACGGAGGGGTGTTTCTGGTGATCCAACAAAATCTTCTCCAGTCACTACCTGCGAGACCTCGCATTGGAGGATGTGCAAGGCACGCACAGCTTTGGTCCGTTTGTACTGGCCCAGCAGGTCACTACTACTACACGTCACTGACCCCGCCTCCAAGTCCAGAGCCGGCCTTTCGACCTCCCCTGGCGTATGCCCTGGACTAGAAGGTTCATGCCCCACTTGCATACGGCACGGTGCTCCAGTCTCGACCTAAGCGAGAGTTATTGTCAGGCTGCGTAGTACCAGGACACAACGCATACCTGACTCTTCCCTTCCATGTAATGGTCATCCAGGCCGACCATGCAGCCGAAGACAGGCTGAGGGAATGGAAGGTTCCAGTACATGGAGTGGTCACCCGATGCCGACCACATCGCCAAGCCTGGCTAGGGAACAGAGTCTGGAAATAAAAGATGAAAGCCCACATCTGAAGGTATGCCCTCCACCGATTCGGTCCGATAAAGACGCATTAACGAGTAATGCAGGATAAGTAAAAAATCTAGTAAAATCTTAGAAATTTTTTATATTTGTATACTTATCCTGCATTACTGCGTCTAAAGGGACCCAACCATTGCAGAGCTACCTCCCCACGATGCCTTCCGATGTTTTGGAGTCCAGAGTAATGTGAGGATCCGTGACGTCAATTCCTTGGACACGTGGGAGCTGCGTGATGGATTGGCCTCTCAGCTAGTTAGAGCAACTTCTTCAAGCAAAGACCTTCACACAGCTCTTTTCTCTGTCAAGAACAGGCAGTAATATGCATTAAGGAGTAATGCAGGATAAGTATACACATATATAAAATATTTAGGATTTTACTAGAATCATTAGTTTAGTCATAGTTGTTTTGTCTTCTGTATTTTTGCAAAATGCATATCAATTCTGACTGCAAATTTCGCTAAGTGTCTTTATTGACAACTATTGAACACATATCCAGGTGAGCTACAATGCCATAGCACTATTTGATTAAGATGACAAAATCAAAGTTGGTTAACAAAAATTGTAAGAATCTTCTGTGAACAACAATGTCTTGGAATCTGAAATGTTGATATGATGTGTAGCAACTCAAGGACATTCTGCACAAACTTTGAAGTGGAAACTTTTGAAGATATAAACAAATTTGGGATGATCAAGTACTTAATTTCTTGAATTGTTTGATAAATGCAGTATAAAACAGTGAAAACAATCACATTTTTATTTCTTTTGAAACATTTTGAAATCCAAGTGTAAGTTTGGCCCTTATGTTTATTCTCCATTTCAGATGGTTGAGTTAAAAAAAAACTGTCCAGAAATATCATCTTATAAGGTGAGTATCTTTACACTTGTTTCTATCAAAACATTATCTTACCTGAAAGAATGTACAGAGTCCGTCTGTCTTGACATTTGTATGAGGAACAATATTTAAGGGAAGCCCTGTAATTTCAGCCGTAAGAATAAAATGATCAGCTTTGTTTGCAGGTGACAAAGTTACTGTACTTAGGCAGTTAACTCGTTCAAACGTTGCACACAGCACATGTAAAACATTCTGTCCACACTGACACATCCTGTTTACTTGTATGTGACATCAAACATCACAACCACATGACTCATTGACACTGATGGACCGAAATCGGTTAACGATTGGGGTTAAGATTAGGATGGATAGAGGAAGGCCAAGAAAGACAATTACTGGATTGATACATACTCACCATTGCGTTGAGGGACAGATTCACTCTGCACCAGAACTTAAGGACAAGTGGGATTTTCAGAGGAGGACTTTGGTTGATTCATGGATCATATATATACATAAATGTGTCATGTCAGAGGATTTTGGAAACAATCTGAAAATCTATATTTATCTTTTTGTTTATATGTTTGCCATTGAGAATTACCGGTAGTCAGAAATGCAGATAAATACTGTTGTCGTTGTGGGTCATGGCATCACGCAGGATGGAATCTTTGACAATTTCTGTTGAATTTACCAAATCATTGTCATGTATGTATTTTTAATTCCCTAATTCTTCCAATACTCTTTCCATGCATATTCTCAAAAATGGGGGCCAACATGTGCAACAAATAGACAAATGGATCTCTCAAAATAGGAGAAAATACCACATTGTGTATAATGTGAATTTTGCTTTGTTTACATTTCAAACATAAACAGTTTTTCAAATTACAGAGTCTGTTTTTTCACCTGATTTATTTCGCTTGATTTCATCAAGCCATTTGTATATTGTGACCAAGAAAATTTGTTTTTTGATACAAAACTGTATGCATATTTCAAGGATGTATGTATCGCAGCTGTGTGTGAAATATATTTCAAATGATAAGCGTCTCTTACACAAAAGCTGATTTTGTAAACACTATGGAATATGGCGGAAGTTGAATTTAGTGTTACTGGTGACATTTCAGAATGATCATTGGTGATTTGATCAATCATAGATACCCAAGATCAACAATTGCCTATTTGTGCAATGAAAACATGACAAAGGGTAAAGGAAACAATATATTTAATACACATTGGGATATATATGCTATATACAAGGGGGCTGCTCGGTCGCACACGGAATGTCCTGAGGACGGGGGTTAGTTCTAAGGCCGTGCTGGCCTGCTAGGATAGGGCTACCCTGCGGGTAGAGAGGTGTTGATGAAAAGGATCAGATTATTATTATTATTAGATTGAAAGATAGGGGTACCCTGCGGGTATGGAATGTGAACTGGTGGCTGCGCCGGACCAGGAAGGTAAGGAATATTTGGGGGCCCCAAGCCATGTAATGCTGCTGCCTGAGGCATGCAATGGCTTGAGACGCCCAAACGAGGTTGTGTACGACCGAGTGCCCCCAAAGATGAGTAAGATACACGATCACGAAACCTGATTACTGCGAACTAATACGAATATGGGACGGAATCTGTCTGGTAGATTAGGGTCCACATAACGACCGCTGTGCGTTAAGCTAGCTGCGGTGGTGGCAGCACCGATACGGAACGAGTGCCCACTATAATCATTTGAGTTAAAACAGGCCCTAGTCAGCACTCTGCTGAGCCAGGACAGGAACACTGCCGGTGTGATGGGCTGGTGTTGAGCGTCCACAAATAGTGCATCCTCACTAGAAGCTCGCTGAAGAGTTCTGGTATGGAAGAGCTTCCTCAAACTTGAGAACGGGCACAAGCGACTATTAGAAAACAATATTATGGGGACGCCTACTCGAAATGGATCCGTCTTGGAAGCTTTCAGCAGGATAGTGCACTTTCTCTTAGCGAAGTCAAACTTGATGTCACTCAAACAAATGTTAGCACTGGGATCAAACCTGGCAGTACACGTGATTTCTCCACATCTGAGAAACCCGAAGAAGGCAGTTAAGCACATGCATTCCATTACAAGGTCATTCAACAGTCCAAGTACTCCTGCACGCAGTGTACACACGATTCGCGCCAACACTGTGTAGGTGATGGGAAGTCGTTTTCTTGGAGTCGGAGCTTGCAACTTCTTGTAACCTCTCATGATGGACTGCAGTCTGTTCAACGCCCCGGATCCACGATGGTCGAATATCGTGGTAATGCCACGTTGCAGGTAAAAGAACCTCACCCCAGCTAGGTAGGTCTTAACAGTGACATGTTTCAACTGCAGCACGCCATAACAATGGGCAATGAAGTACTGTAAATATACCTCGTTCACGGGAGGGAGTCTGTGATAGAACATGGTTTGAAACAGTCCGAAAGTCAGCAAGAACTTTATATAACAGGTCATGCCAGTCGAATAGGCGGTCTGAGTACCCTTGCTGATGACCGCCGACCACAGTCTGTTGAGATGCGCATTCAGGGCCACATTACTTGCGAGCTGGGGGGGCACTGGAGTGGATGTGGTTGAGCATGTGGCACCAGGGCTTGGAACTTGGTAATCTGCAAACGAGATAGTGAATCAGCAATGTTATTATCTGAGCCAGGTACGTGATGGGCCAATACCACAAAGTTGTTGACTGCTGCTGTCCAAGTGAGTCGGTGCATGAGGGACATGATACCTTTACATTTAGATCTACCCTTCTTGATGATGAACACGGTAGCCTGATTATCACAATGAAAGAGCACACGCTTTTTCTCCCAGAGATGACCCCAGAGAATAGCCGCCACGACGATCGGGTAGAGTTCCATGAAGGCCGTAGACAATTCACCGGACATACTACATAGCACTTCCTCCGACCATTTTTCAGCGAACCAGGCACCTTGGTAATAGACCCCATGTCCCACTGTAGCAGCCGCATCAGTGAAAAGCTCAATGTCTGGGGTAGGTGAGATGTGGAGGTCGTGGAAGAGGGAAATACCATTCCATTCTATCAAGAACTTGTTCCACATAGCTAAGTCTTTTCTACAATCGCCTGACAAACTAACATGGTGATGCAACTTATCAACAGTTGTGGAAAGTTCGATCAAGTAGGAGACAAACGTCCTGCCAGGCACGATCACTCTGCAAGCGTAGTTCAAGTGTCCGAGCAGGGAGAGAAGTTCTCTCTTGGTGCAACTTCTCTTTGTGGAGTATCTTCCAAGAAGCTCTGCTATGGGTTGCAGTTTATCTTGAGGTAACCTAGCAGTCATATGATTTGAGTCAAGAATAATGCCTAAATACTCGATCTCTGTAAGGGGTCCCTGTGTCTTATGGAGAGCTAGTGGAATGTTGAGTCTCTTGAAGAGAGACAGTATAGTGCTCATGGTCTATTCAGCGTCGTGGCCTGGAGGGTCAATGACTAGGAAGTCGTCCAGCAGGTGTAGCACATGAAGGAAGTCATGATTGTGTCTCAAAATCCAGCAAATGGCCTGAGACAGAGTGTCAAATATTTTGGGGCTAGATCGGCAACCGAAGGCTAGCCGGGTGTAGAAATAGTACAGTCCTTCCCACTTGAACCCGAAATATGGCCAGTAATCGGGGCTTAATGGAATCTGCTTGAAGGCGTCAGTTATATCTGCCTTACACATGAGGGCCCCTCTTCCGAGCTGAATAATGAGAGAAATGGCATGATCAAGTGTTACGTAGGAAAGAGAACAGGATGTCTTGTCGATTAGTTGGTTGATGCTAGGGATGGTATCGTCATCATGGGGGGCCGATAAGTCCAATATCAAACGTTTCTTCCGAGAATATTTCCCTTGGCAAGTCCAAGTGGACTAACCCTGTGTGTGTCATAGGGAGACTCCTGGAAAGGCCTGATAACGTACTGCTTGGCACATTCTTTCCTGACAGCTGCGGACACATCCACTGGATTTCTCCTGGCACTAAGGTTGTTGCGGCATTCCACTGTCGATTTAGGCACAGAGTCTAACATTGGATTGAATCCTGTCTCCAGGCCAGAAATGAGATAATTGAAGAAACACTTGTCTGGGTGGAATTGTAAGTCCGCTCTTAATCTCTCAATGTTAATAGGTGTTAACGTCAGTGTCTGCTTAGTACTTGCTCTGTCTAAGGCATAGTGTAGTCAATCCTTCTGCGCTTTCTGGCATTGTGTCTTGCCGTGCTTTCTTGAATGGCAAATAAGGCAGGTATGTATGAAAGGACACTGTTGGCGGCTGCAGCCGCTATCATTAAAGTTGTTACAGATATCTTGTCCATCACGTCGAACACGAGGTCTACCTCTTGAGTCTATGTGCGTGGCATTGCTGCCCGCATTACGTCGGTCATATGGGACATGTCTGTCCTGAGGCCTGACAATTGGTCGGCGAGCTGTAGCTATATTCGGGCAGACGTCGGTGCCGTGGGTTACACTTTGACACACTGAACACGTCCTGGTACGGCGCCCTGAGGAGCACAGGCTGTAGAGTTTTGAGTCTCTCATGTCCCATTGAATGACAACTCCTTTTGCCTCAAAAGCGGCCACACGAGCTGCGAAAAGTTTGTGGTAGTCGTAGTAGCATGTCCCGCCGTACAGAGTAGCAAGTTCGATCACAGTCTGCTTGTGGCCATCGAGCTGTTTCCTTTTGGCATCATTGTTCTCACAATAAATGTCTTTGTAAATACTGAATGCCTGGATAAACTCTCCGAGTGTCAGTGTCCTATTCGGCCTGGGGTCATCTTTGAGCGAGTATACATTCCCCTTGAATTCAGTTACTCTAGTATCCAAACTGTCCTGGTTAGGTAATGTCAACAAAGCCAAATTAACATATTTACCTTCCTGGATCTTTTTCCTTAAGGTGGGGGACACTGTGTGGATATGAGGTAAGGAGTCTGATGGAACCTCTGTTGAGTTGCTAGCGGGGGACAGGAGAGAAGTCTCAATACCACTCAGGGTATTCGATGTAGGGTGGCCTAGTAGAGGCATCGCGCTGAGCCCTGTGGTTGTGATC